AATAAAAAAAAAAAAAAAAAAAAAAAAAAAAAAAGAGAGAGAGAGAGAGAAAACGAAAAAAGTACCATGGTGGTTTTGTTTGATGGGAGGAAGTGGGGAAATTTTGGTCAATAGATATAAAATTTCAGTTAACTAGGAAGAATAAATTCAAGAAGTTTATTGGACAACATGGTGACCATAGTTAGTAATAATGTCCTGTATTATTGAAAATAGATAAGAATAGATTTTAAATGTACTTACTATATATACAAATAAAAAGGTAAGTGTTTGAGTTGATGAACAGGTTAACAAAATCAACCTAGCTATTCGTAAAGTATACATATCACAATATAATATGGGATACAGAATTTAAAAATACAACATTTATTCATCAATTAAAATAAACAAATAAGTAAATATTAAACAAAATAAATAATGCATGTCTTGGAAGATCACTCCTGTTAGTGATAACATAAATGTTTTAAGGATGATTCAAGTTCTAGATATGGTATTTTTCTGTAGTAAAATACATAAAGCTTGGCACTGACACAGATTTTGATATGAAAAAAATTCTTCTCCAAAAGCAGAGGATCCAAGAGGCAGCTACTTTCATCTGAGAGGAACTGAACAGTATCTTTATTCCTACATCTCTTCCTATGACTTAGTAACTATCTGATTCCAGGTATTAATTTTTTTATTGAATAAAATCCAATATGGTACGTTCTCTTTTCTTTTCTTTTCTTTTTTTCTTTTCTCTCCTGTCCTTTTCTTTTTTCCCTTTTCTTTCTTGTTACATACATTAATCCATTTTTGTAGGCTAGTGATATTCCAAATGTCTGCCGAACTTCCATTCACCTTTCTTTTTTGAGAGAGAGAGATTTTTGCTATCAGGCATGTGTGCTTTCTGGAGAGACAGAGAAGGAAAGTCAGAAATCACTCTCCAAAGGGGATGGCCACACCACAATCCCTTCTTCTCCATTCTCCTCTTGGGACTTTGGAAATGCATATACATATGCTTGGCATGAGTTTCAAGCTGTCAGGACCAGGATTCGATCTGTGGTGGGCAATGTGGGAGTCCAGTGCCTCAACCATCACTCCATCCACCAGCATCTTACAGTTCTTCCAATTCCTTCAGACTTCTGATGGTGGACTTTACCATCGCAGTTGAAGTGGTGGTGTAGGCTCAGGTACTACCAGCTACTTTTCTCATGCAGGAACCACAGTGCCATATCCCCACAACCTGTCTTTTCATTTTGGTTTTGCCACAGATAGAGTGAGCATACTTGGTGTGCTGACCTATTTTATTTTCTTCACCATTTTCCAGAGTGAGGCACCACAGTGGTTCTTGTATTTACCCATGATGCAAACTTCCTTGGTGTGTTTAGCCATGTCAGCACCAACTAGAGTCAAGGGCAGAGAGCTGTGGGTTCTATTTTCTACACTATACTCAGAGAAAATAACTAGAGGGTTAAAAAATGTTTTTAATTTTTTCATCAGAAATGCTAAAGACAAGATCTTTACAATATATAAAAAAATAAAAGAAATGAAATTCTATTGGGTCACTGGAACCGTCATGACATATTTTGCAAAAGTATGTCATAGGGACAGTAAGTGGCATAGTGGTTAAGGCACTGGACTCCCACGTGGCAGACCGTGATTTGAGTACCGGATCCAGTGGCTTAAAACTTATGCTGGGTGCGTGCAAATGTGTGTGTGTGTATGTGCACACGCGCACGTGCCAAAAATCCCTAGAGGAGAATGGAGAAGAAAGGATTGCTGTGTGGCAATCCCTGAGGATGAGTGGTTGATTTCTCATTTTTCTCTATCCATCTCTCTCTGTCTCTATGGCAAGCACTTGTGCCCTATACCAAAATCTATTAAAAAAAAACTTATGATTTTTTCAACTACCCAATATGTATATAAGGTAAACTGCAGATTATTTATTATGTGATGAAAATAACATAATTTAGGCATCCCAAATCTTTGAGCCCTGTTATCAAACACAAGTCTGTAACTCTAAGACAAGGAACTTAGTTATGCAGAGACTGTTTTTTATCTGAAGAGTTTCACCAGGGCCTGTTTTATGTCCTTATTCCTCAGGCTATAGATGAAGGGGTTCAGCATGGGTGTGACCACAGTGTACATCACCGAGGCTATTGCACTTGCCCTGGAGTTTTGGGAAGAAGCTGAACTAAGATACACTCCCAGTCCTGTACTATAGAACAAGAAGACAACTGACAAGTGAGACCCACATGTGGAAAATGATTTATACCTGCCCCCAGCTGATGAAATTCTTAAAATAGATGTTACAATCTTAGAGTAAGAGAACAGGATACCAGTGAGTGGAATAATACCCAGAAGTCCACTTGCCAAATACATCAATAGGTTGTTGAGGAAGGTATTTGAACAAGCCAGTTGAACCACCTGATTAAGTTCACAGAAAAAATGAGGAATTTTCAGCTCCATACAAAAAGATAGTCGCAAAATCATTAAGCCATGTAATAGAGCATCCAGAACACTCAATAACCAGGATGCCAGAATCAGGACACTGCAGAAGATGGGGTTCATGATGACTGTGTAGTGTAGGGGGCGACAGATGGCCACAAACCTATCATAGGCCATTGCTGTCAAGAGGAAGTTGTCTAATCCTCCAAAGAGCATGAAAAAATACATTTGGCTGAGACAGCCTTCATAGGTGATGACCTTGCTCTGTTTGTGGATGTTCACCAGCATGTTTGGGATGGTGGTGGAGGTGAAACAGATGTCAGCTAAAGAGAGGTTGGAGAGGAAGAAGTACATGGGCATGTGGAGGTGGGAGTTAGTGATAATGACCAAGATAATTAGAAGATTTCCAATGAAGGTGACCAGGTACATGGACAGGAACATCCAAAACAGGAGAGGCTTCAACTCTTCCTCTTCTGACAGTCCTAGGAGAATAAATTCTGAAATAGTGGTTTGGTTTCCTTGCCCCATGTCCTGGGGAAATGGCTGAAATAGAATTAAGAGCATTTTAATGTTAGCCAAGAACAGTATCTAAAAAGTCAGAATATCTGGCTGATGCAGAAAGGCCTAGGATATAGGTTTCACAGTAGCTGTTTTTGTTTGTTCGTTTGTTTGTTTGTTTGGATGATTTTTGCTATAAGGTGCATATACTTGCTGGAGAGACAGAGAGATGGAGGGAAAGTGAGAAATCACACCTCCAGGGAGAATGGTCATGCCACAGTCCTTTCTCCTCCATTCTCCTCTCAGGATTTGGGACATGTATATACATGTACCTGGTGTGAGTATCAAGCCACAAGTCAGGACCTGAACTGTAGTTTGCCATGTGGGAGCTCAGCGCCTTAATTGTTATGCCATCTGCTGGCCTCTGTAGCTGTTTTTCATATGTATATGTTATATTACATATGATGTATAGAAATTCATGTCATAAACATCCTGTAAATAGAGGATACTTAACTTATCCCCACATAAAGTATATTTTTGCTCCCTCAATTTCTATTTTGTCTAAATTCCACATTTCTGTGTATGTTTTATTTTAGTTTTAGGTATTTGCCATAGGGCACTAGTGCTTGCTAGAGAGACAGAGAGAGGGAAAGTGAAAAATCACCCCTTGAGGGATTACCACACCACAATCCCTTCTCCTCCATTATCCTCTCAGCATTTTGGGCCTACACATACATGGATCCAGCATGATTCTCAAAGCACCAGGCCCAGGACTCAAATCATAGCTGGCTATGGGAATCCAGTACTTTAACCACCAAGCCACTTGCTGGCCCCTAAATTCTGCATTGTTGATGTGTAGAATACAGCTTCAGTTTGGGATATCTGCTCAACTTGTGCCCTCCTCACTGTTGACTTTTCTTTTTCTACCCAAAGCCATACTCTCAACTCTGAGCCATAATTGTGAAATGGTGTCCTTCTTCTCCTAGAGCAGAGTTAATTTCATCAGCATAGAATACTCCATGTGATAAGACATAAGCTTCTCTCTCCTCTGAGAACTGAATTTTGTAATTTAAGCATTCCAAAGGGGTAGGCATGACTGTAGGATTTTCAAGAACAAGCCATACTTAGGATATGGAATTTGTCATGATCTGCTATTTTCATGGAGGAGAGAAAACCTAGTCTGCAGAGAAAAAAGAAGTAGACATAAAATATGGAAAAGAAACATAAGAACTGAGTTAATAGAGAAGGAATGCTGGAGAATCAAGTTCTGGTAGTTTTCCATTCCAAGTTACAATCCTCAAACTCCCCCAAAATAATTTTTTTAGAGAGATTTTATTACAGAACATATGCACTCACCAGAGGGACAGAAAGCAAGAAATCACTTCTCCATCCTCCTTTCAGAATTTTGGGCACTCATACACACATGCCTGGCATGAGTTTGAAGCCACTAGGTCGGGGACTCAAACTGTGGTTGACTACAGTAAGGTAACTATTATGCCATCTGCTGGTTCTAATAATTTTTTAAAGGTGTTTTGCCATAGGGCACATGTGTTCACTAGAGAGAGAGTGGGGGAGGGATGAAAAGTGAGAAATGCCACACCACAATTCCTTCTCAATTCTCCTCTTGAGATTTTTGGCATGCACCATGCACACACTTGTGCCCAGTGTGAATTTCAAGCCACCAGGCACTTGAACTGTGGACAACCATGTGGGAATCTAGCACCTTAGCTACACCTCTAGCACCATGTTACCTTCTGGTCCCAGAAATAAATATTAATAGTGAAAATAGCCAACTAGAAAAATATTTTCAACATGTATTACCCAAAAATATTTATATCCTCATGTAATCATGATAATTTACATAGGGAAGGAAATCAGGAGAAAAAATAGAGAGGCAAGACATTTGTGGGACACAGAAATTGTTTATTACCTGTTGATGATAATTTTTATAATATTCTCAGCTGGACTGGTATGAGATGTTTTTCACGTTGGGTAAATTTTCTTTACAAGCCAAATGATGTATAGTGATCAAATGTTTTAAAAAAATAAGAATAATCCCTAAAATAGACAAGTGGGATGATATTAGATTAATAAATTTCTGGACAGCAAAGGACACAGTAATTAATGTGAATCTACAACCCTCAGAATGAGAATATTTTTGTGAATTATACCTCAGATAAGGGACTGACATCCAGTATATACAGGGAACTCAATAGCTTACCTGAAAACAAAACAAAACAACACAAAACAAAACAAAAGATGACCCAGATAAAAGTTTGGAAAATGAGCTGAACAAAAATTTTTCTAAGGAAGACATATGAACTACCAAAAAGCAATTCTGAAGAAATGCTCAACATTCCTTATCATAAAGGAGATTCGGATTAAAACCACAATGAGATATCACCTAACCCCTGTCAGAACAGCAAAGATTAAAAATACAAAGTGGTGTTGGCAGTTTGTGATGAAAAGGGGAACTCTCCTACATTGTTGGTGGAAATGTAAATTGGTCCAGCCACTCAGGAAAACAATATGGAGGTTCTTTAAAGACCTACAAATAGAACTACCATTTGATCCAGCAATTCCACTTCTGGGTACCCAAAGGACAGGAGAAGACTCAGTTGGAAAAGCACTTGCACATCAATGTTAATTGCAGTATTATTCCTGATTACTACGACATGGAACCAACCCAAGTGTCCACAAACAGATAAATGAATTGAAAAAGTGTGACACATATATTCTATGAAATACTATTTAGCTATGAAATACTATTCAGCTATAAAAAACAAGGCCCTGGCATTTGCTAGAAAGTGGTCAAATAAGGAAAATTTATTGCTGAGTGAAGAAAGCAAGGCTATGAAAGAAAGATATTATATGTATCCACTTAATATATACCAAGTACCTGCACTCTATGGTAGAGATTGAAATATTGGAGGGCATAAACGCAGTGAAAATAGTTATGGATGTTGAAGACAGTGTGGAATGGGGAGGAATAGGGTAGCAAATAGAAGGGTATAGAGAAAGAAAACAGGAGGAAAAATACAGAGGCATGACATTTGTGGGACACAGAAATGGCTTATTACTTGCTGATGATAACATGTATAGTATTCTAAACTGGACTGGTCTGAGAAGTATTTCATGTAGGGTAAATTATCTTTACAAGCCAAATGATGTATAGCAACTGAATGTTTAAAATTAAAAAACATAATAAAATAATCTGAAGAAAAAGAATGAAAAGCTGCTTGCTATTGTGGGTTTGTTTAGTAATGTCTTTGTCTTGACTTATTTAATGGTAATCATGCTGGAAAAAGAAATTTTATACACTGTAAAGATGTATGTGATTAAACACAATATACAAAACATAAAAATATAATGAAAAGTAATAAAAATTTAGTAACACACTTAAAATATAAACAGTGAAATAGAATTTATGCCAAAGATTTACAATGACTTTAAAAATAATTTTATATGTTTGAGAGTTAATTTGGTATATGAAACTGTCATTGAAAAGAATGATTAAAATGCAATGAATTGAGGCCGGCAGGTGGTGTGATGATAAAGGCACTGGACTCCCATATGACTATTCACAGTTTGAGCCCCAGACCCGGTGGCTTGTTTCCTCACTTTCCCTTTCTCTCTCTCTGTTTTTCTCTGGTCAAATTAAAAAATAATAATAATAAATAAAATAAAATAAATAATTATTAAAATAATGCAATGAATTATACCAAACCTTTAAAGAGGATGTTCTGCATGATCGCTTCCAGAAAATAGAAACAGAGTAGATGTTAATTCATCTTGTAAGGTCCTCATTACCCAACTCTAAAACCAAATAAAACATTATAAAAAAGAGTAATTACAGACCAATATCTCTTATGAACTAGATGTAAGGTATTATAATGGTGAGTACAAGAATCTGAAAAGGAGTGGGAAGAACTAGGGAGAACTTTGTTAAGATAGTTAAAAGTGTTGAGTACAGTAGGTGATGAGGTAGTTAAGGTACTGGACTCTCATGTGATTGACTACAGTTCCAAGTGCTGAAGTTGGTTTGAAAAATCACACTGGGCATGTGTGCCTAAAATCCTGAGAGGAGAACAGAGAAGGGATTGTGGTATGGCCTTTCCCTGTAGAGTGGATGATTTCTCACTTTCTCTCTCTGTCTCTGTCTCTGGCAAATGCACATGCCCTATAGCAAACTAAAAATAAATAAATAAATGAATAAGCAGTATGAAGAATATTGAAATGTAGATGCCTTTCAGTGAGCTCTGAACTTGACTATAGACTCTATTATAAGTCTTTGATAAACAATATTACTTACATAAGCTTCATATTCTTTATCCATAAAATCAGAATTATAATACCAATTTTATAAAGCTATTAAAGAAGTTGCATAAAAACAAATATAAATTGTCCTCCTGGGACTCGCATTGATCAGTGATATATATATTTTTTTTATCAGTGAACTTTTGAGTACATTCTTCAGCTCTTCACAGATTTAGTCCTTCCCATTCCCACTTGTACTCTGCTATTTCTATCCTCAGCATCTCTATCCAGGTTGACATCAGGAAGACACTTTGCACAGAGTGATCTTGTTCAAGGACATCACCTGCTTTTTTTTTTCTTTTTAGTTTTAAGAGAGAATCTTTATATTTAGTTGCCAAAGAGAGAGGAAGAGGGAAAGATAAATCATCCCCTGGGGGAATGATGATTCCCACTTGTACTCTGCTATTTCTATCCTCAGCATCTCTATCCAGGTTGACATCAGGAAGACACTTTGCACAGAGTGATCTTGTTCAAGGACATCACCTGCTTTTTTTTTTCTTTTTAGTTTTAAGAGAGAATCTTTATATTTAGTTGCCAAAGAGAGAGGAAGAGGGAAAGATAAATCATCCCCTGGGGGAATGACGATGCTGCAATTCCTTTTCCATTCTCCTCTCAGGATTTTGAGCAAGCACTCACATGCTCCTGGCATAATTTTCAAGTCACTGGTTATGGAATTCGAACTGCAGAGTTGGCTATGTGGGATTCAGCTGCCT